CGGGGCGGCGCGCCTGCCGGCAAGAGGGGGCTGCTGCTGCTCCTGGTTCCCCAGGCTCCTGGGAGTAGGAGGAGGAGCCGGACGCTCTGCTTGGAGCCAGGCTCCCGCCTCCCCCTGCCCCCCGCGGCCCCGTGGGAAGGCTGCCAGCCGCGGTGCCGGGTCTGGGGCGCCAGGGGCAGCCTCTTGCCCCAAGCCCGGGGGACACTGCCCCTCCCTGTCTGGGCCACGTGCCTTTGGGCAGGGCAGCCGCTGCGGTTGGGGCTTTTCTGCCAGGGGTGCATGGGGGGGCCCAAGCCAGGGGTCCCCTGGAGTCTGGGCCTGCGTTCCCCCAGGCAGCAGATGGAGCTGGAAAAGCTGTTCTGGGGGGCACAGGGGGCGGGAGGTGGGAGCAGCCGGAGGAAACGCAATGTCAACACCAGTCCTCAGTTCCAGCCGCCCACCTACCAGGTGTCGGTGCCAGAGAACAGGCCAGCCGGCACCCCAGTGATCTTGCTGCAGGCCACTGACCCGGATGAGGGCGAGGCAGGCCGGCTGCACTACTCCATGGATGCACTCTTCGACAGCCGCTCCAACAGCTTCTTCGCCATGGACCCCCGCAGCGGGGCTGTGAGCACGGCCGAGGAGCTGGACCGTGAGACCAAAAGCACCCATGTCTTTCGGGTGACGGCCGTGGACCACGGTACCCCCCGGCGCACGGCCCTGGCCACACTCACCATCCTGGTGAGTGACACCAATGACCACGACCCCATCTTCGAGCAGCAGGAGTACAAGGAGAGCGTCCGGGAGAACCTGGAGATCGGCTACGAGGTGCTGACGGTCAGGGCCACTGACGGCGATGCCAGCGCCAATGCCAACATCCTCTACCGGCTTCTCAATGGTGATGGGGCCAATGAAGCTTTCGAGATTGACCCCCGCTCCGGAGTCATCCGCACCAAGGGGCTGGTGGACAGGGAGGCTGTGGAATCCTACCAGCTCCTGGTGGAGGCCAGTGACCAGGGCAAGGACCCAGGGCCCCGCAGCACCACGGCCACAGTCCACATTGCTGTGGAGGATGACAATGACAACGTGCCGCAGTTCAGCGAAAAGCGCTACGTGGCCCAGGTGCCCGAGGACATTGCCGTCGGCTCCCACGTGTTGCGGGTGACGGCCACGGACCAGGACAAAGGCAGCAATGCTTTGGTGCACTACAGCATCATGAGCGGGAACACGCGGGGCCAGTTCTACATCGACGCCCAGACGGGCAGCATCGACGTGGTGAGCCAGCTGGATTACGAGCTGAGCAAGGAGTACACGCTCCGAATCCGGGCTCAGGATGGGGGGCGGCCCCCGCTGTCCAACATCAGTGGGCTGGTCACCATCCAGGTCCTGGACGTCAATGACAATGCTCCCATGTTTGTCAGCACCCCCTTCCAGGCCACAGTGCTGGAGAACGTGCCCCTGGGCTACTCGGTCCTCCACATCCAGGCCATCGACGCAGACTCCGGGGACAACGCCCGTCTGGAGTACACCCTGCTGGAGGCTGGCCCCAGGTTCCCCTTTGCCATCAGCAACAGCACAGGCTGGATTGTGGTGGCCTTGGAGCTGGACAGGGAGTCAGTGGATTTCTATAGCTTTGGGGTGGAGGCCCGGGCCCACGGCAGCCCCCCCATGGCTTCCTCGGCCAGTGTCAGCATCACCGTGCTGGACGTAAATGACAACAACCCTGAGTTCACCCAGAAAGAATACTCGGTGCGTCTGAACGAGGATGCTGCTGTGGGTACCAGCGTCCTAACCATCTCTGCCATTGATCGAGATGCCAACAGTGTCATCACCTACCAGATAGCCAATGGCAACACCCGCAACCGGTTCTCCATCACCAGCCAGAGCGGCGGCGGCCTGGTCACCCTGGCGCTGCCGTTGGATTACAAGCTGGAGCGGCAGTACCTGCTGACTATCACGGCCTCTGACGGCACCCGGCTCGACACAGCCCAAGTGTTTGTCAATGTGACTGATGCCAACACCCACCGGCCAGTTTTCCAGAGCTCCCACTACGTTGGCACTACAGTGGTGCTCATCAGTGCCACGGATGAGGACACAGGGGAGAATGCCCGCATCACCTACTTCATGGAGGACAGTATCCCCCAATTCCGGATTGATGTGGATACAGGCGCAGTCACTACCCAGATGGAGCTGGACTACGAGGACCAAGTGTCCTACACACTGGCCATCACAGCCCGGGACAATGGCATCCCGCAGAAATCGGACACCACCTATTTGGAAATCCTGGTCAATGATGTCAATGACAATGCGCCTCAGTTTCTGAGGGACACCTACCAGGGCTCTGTGTATGAGGACGTTCCTGCCTTCACCAGTGTCCTGCAGGTCTCTGCCACCGACCGGGACTCAGGGCTCAATGGGAGGGTGTTCTACACCTTCCAGGGAGGGGATGACGGGGACGGGGATTTCATAATTGAATCTACCTCTGGCATCGTGCGGACGCTGCGCCGGTTGGACCGGGAGAACGTCCCACTTTATGAACTTCAAGCCTTTGCTGTGGACAAGGGCATCCCAGCCTTGAGGACCCCGGTCAACGTCCACATAGCCATCCTGGATGTGAACGACAACCCCCCAGTTTTCGAGCAGGATGAGTTTGACATCTTTGTGGCGGAGAACAGTCCCATCGGCTTAGCGGTGGCACGGATCACAGCCAGTGACCCAGACGAGGGCACCAATGCCCAGGTCATGTACCAGATAGTGGAAGGCAACATCCCTGAGGTCTTCCAGCTCGACATCTTCTCTGGGGAGCTGACGGCACTGATGGATCTGGATTATGAGGCCAAGGCAGAGTATGTCATTGTGGTCCAGGCCACGTCGGCCCCGCTGGTGAGTCGGGCCACGGTGCACGTCCGCCTGCTGGACCAGAACGACAACCCCCCTGTGCTGAGAAACTTTGAGATCCTCTTCAACAACTATGTCACCAACAAGTCTAACAGCTTCCCCAGTGGGGTGATTGGCCGCATCCCAGCCCATGATCCGGACGTCTCAGACACGCTCACTTACAACTTCGAGCAGGGCAACGAGCTGAACCTGGTTGTGCTGAACCACAGCTCCGGAGAGCTGCGTCTGAGCCGGGCCCTGGATAACAACAGGCCTCTGCAGGCTGTCATGAGAGTGTCTGTCTCAGGTGAGATGCCGGCCGGGGGGCACTGTTGTGATTGGGAGCCTAGGTTAAACGCAGGGCACAGTCAGGCTGGTGGGGTGTCCAGGGCAATCCGCCCAGCGGCTACGACTCTGACATCGGAGGGGCTACTGGATGTTCCGCACTAGTGGCCACGTTGGGCCAGGCCCTCTGGCTTCCAGGCCCTGAGCTCAGCGGGAGGGGCCGCCCATCTGTCTCTGCAGTTGGCTAATGCCCAACCCAAGTGCAAACCCTCTGGTCTCTGCTGATCCAGGGGGCTGCCTCCCCTCCCCCTCCTAGCTGTGACTACCTGGGGGCTGTGGCAGACACCTGCCCCTTCATGCTCCAGATCAGTTGACCACAAGGGGAAGCAATGGCCTTTCCATGGCCGCAGGCCAAGCACCTCATGAGCTCCCCTCCGCCAGGGCCCAGCAGAGCAGGGTTGGGTGGAGGGTACCCTCCATTCCGTAGCTTTCAGAGTCTCCCCCGGGGAACTGAGGGGCGCCTGGGAGCCCTGCACTGACTCAGAGCAGGATTATGGGTTCTGGCCTGGCATGGGAGGCAGGTTTGGGCCCTCACTGGG